ACAATGCAAAGGGCTGACAGTCATATAAAGAATTATCATTGTGGCAGAGAATGGAGACAAGTTAGCGAAGGAAAATTAAAGTGACTAGCTAAACAGAACCAAACTTCTTGAAAAATCTAGGATATTGCCATGACAATTCGAATCACTCTAACTTTTTCTTTTTTGTGTTTTCAGCACTTTCCTACACAGTCTATTATCAATCTGATAGGGAAAAGAAAGGAAAAGAAATCGCTTCACATATAGTCTAGTTTCAGTGAAATATGTATTTCAAAAGAGAAGATTCATTCTGTATCAGCTTGTGCAATAAGATAAATTGCAACTAACATCAATCTTTGTAATTTTCCATAATTGTAGAAGTCAGACTGACCAAGATTATAGCCTGTCTAATCTTTCTTGCTAATGCATACAATATAGAAATGTTTCTTTGTCCTCTCCAGGTCTTTTTTGGAAAACAAAAATGATTCCTTTCTAGAAAACAATAAGATTCCTGCAGGTGGTGGCTTGGGGTCTCAAATTGCTTTGCATATTCTTAAGAATAATTTTAAATACTTTAAATAAGAAAAGGAAGAGAGTGGTTAAAAGAAGAAAACAACCACCCTACTCTTGTGTTATGATTTTCAGCTATAGCTCTTGGGACATTTTACTCTGTCTCTGAAGAAAGTGAGAGCATGAGAGAGAGTCTCAAGGTGCACATCTATGCCCAGCAAGCCAGAGCACTGCAGCCTGACTAAGTTGTTTTCTCCAGGAAAGAAAATCAACAGAATCTTTGTCATAGGACAAGTTTTCAGTGCTTAGTCTTGTGCGTCTCATCATATGCTACCCAGGCAAGAGGTGGAGGCTAAGAATTTAATGCACAGAGTTGGTGAAACTCCACATCCCATCTTCTACACAAATGTCTGCTGCCTTCTAGCTGTGGTATCTGCAGTGCAAATTAAGTCAGTCAGCGTTGCAGTGGCTAACGGATCAGATTACTAAAGAAGCCTGAGTCCACAAGATTGCTTTATATAGTCAAAATTCATAATTAATTCCCATACACATAAGCAATCATTGAGTTCACTCAGCTAGCACATCAAAACCTGATGAAAACACCAAAGGCTGAGCAAATCAGTCTTCCCAAGGTAGATGAATGAGAGGCTTACATGACTAATGCCAGCAGGACAGAGGCACAAAACTCCCTGTGGATGTAAGGACATAAGATCCTTTCCACTTGTTCATCATCCTTACCTGTCTTTAAGTACTGTAATCCTGGAATTAGAAAGGCAGAGTGTTTAGAAACACCGCAGTAGGTTGTGTGTATATTCAGCAGCAGCAGGCACTCAATCCAATCAACGCCAAGACCAGCCTGCCAACACTGCCTGCCAGAGCAGGTTGGCCAAGGCCTGGTGTGTCCTTGCAGGGTTGGACCCTCTGCACGGTGAAGTCACACCTAAAACATCGGTCCAGATCATGAGACAGAAAAAAAATACCAGAGAAGGACTGCAATCACTATTACTTTCCAAATAAATCAGATGTACATTATGAGTTGGGAAAGAAGACAAGAAAACACTCAGAAATGTAATAAATGTGAATTGCTGCAGTCACACCAAATGTAGCTTCATTTCCCTAATTGTATCAATTATTTTTTATGATTGTGATCTCAAAGATGTTAAGTTTTGTAAGAGGACTTATTTGCAAATCACTTTGATTACTACCTGTGCATATGTTTAAAAGCTTCTGCATATTTGCTTTGGCCCTCTGACCCCCCATTGCAGCATCCTGAATCAGCTGGCAGAACATTAGGCACTTTAGACACTTCTACTTGAAGCATTCAGACAATCCTGGAATTATTGGAGCAACTCAAATGGAGAGTCTTTGTCTAAGTTGTCCTTTCACTGATCCCAGGGCTCTTATGACTGCCTTTGCTTTTCACATTTCTGTCTCTGTCTTTCATTTTTTAATCAGATATGTTTTACTGTGAGGAAGAATTTGACCATTTACTATTGTGTTCTAAGAAATAAGCCTACTAGACCAAGCATTCAAGGTAATTTCATTTCTGCAACAGGAGGTATAATTGAAGAATCATATTTTCAATGTAAGACACTATCTAAAACTAGTCCCTGGTATGAACCCTGGTCAACTACATACAATCCTCTTTAATATGGCCTTTCATAGCATTCATTTAGCACTCCAGTGCAAAGCCTCCAAAAGGGCATTGAATGAAATTAGTTTCCAAAAGGACTGGCACAGTAAGAGAAGTCCCTTTCTCTGAATTAATGGCAATCTTAAAATCTCAACTGCCTTGAAACAGTACATTAATCCACAATGAAAATGTTTGCATAGCATTTAAAAAATACAAACAGGATTAACAAAGAACTTTCCAAGGACAAGATATATTCACTTTGATTTTAAGAGTGAAAGGGAAGTGCCTTAACTTTAAAGAAAGAAAAAAAAAAAGAGAGAAAAGAGAATTAGAAAGATGTTATAACTACATGAGGGAAGAGACTAACCCTCCCCTCCTCTTCTCTAAACACTGATTTGAATATTGTGAAGTTTATTTAGTAACCATCTATCACCATCACAAATATAAATCTAACTTGACTGCACCTTCATGAGGACACTGGTCCCACCTAGAGAGCATGTTTCTCCTTGAGACTTTTCACCAGCTTCTCATTTCTCCTTCGTGTTCCCTTTCGGGCTGAGCAGAGCTGTAGCACCAGATCTATTCTTACCATCACTGTTCAAAGAGCAGTTTCAGTGCTGAGCAGCACGAGTAAAGGACAAAGGCAGCCTGGAGTAGAGGTGAGACTCTGGAAGATAAAACAGCATCATCTACAAATTATCTACCTGAAAGGTGTGGGCTTTGGGGGGCTCATCCTCCTACAGCAGAAACAAATTCTTACCCTGGTCCAGTCTCTGGCTTCATTTCTCCATCAAGTCAGGGTGACTGAATGCAAGATGAAGTTTTCCTGCCCTTTCTGTCCTGTTCCTCGCTTTTAAACCTGCACATCTGCACACACATCTCAGCACCTGTGCTGGGAGACCTTATTTCTAAAAGTGAATTTAGAATGAGATGAACAGGGATTGTTTAGGGAGCAAAGAGCAAACCTCTGCTAAGCCTCAAAACCTGTTCTTAGTGGAGTTTCTGATTGCTCCAGGGTATATCTGTGCTCACATGTGTGTTAGAAGAAGTGCAGCAAAAATGATTAAACACATGAGGAAAGATGCTTCCATCTAAAAAGTGATTAAAAAGACTAGCATTGTTTAGTTTACAAAACACAAGAGTAAAAGATGATATAACAGAAGCAGAGAGAAGGGGCTATTTATTTTGTTTTCTCTGAAGCACAAATATGCATGGAAAGGTGAAGGAAAAATGATGAAAACGTTTGTGCAGTGTATAATCAACCCTGCAACTCATTGCTGCAGGATATTAGGCAAATTTTTCAGAAATATTTCTAAATGTGTTTGATGCTACGAATAATAAGCCTCAGTTCCTGAGGTGAAGGAAAAGCAAAAATAAACCATCTCCCCAAACTGGAAGGACAGTTAGTCCCTGTCCTTGTGCTTAGATTGGTTAGAGATGGAATTTTTGTCTCCAGAGGGATGGCATTATTTATTTATCAAGTGCATGATATGGGAGTGCTTGTTTCCTTCAAGCAGGAGGTTCTGTAGCAGGCAATTAAAAGGGTCAGCAAATGCAGCTGTATGAAGTAATTTCCAACAGATTTGTCCCAGAATACATAAACTTAGTAATGGTGAAGTGGCTTGGGTTCAGTTACTTTGTTCTCAGGTGGTTATTTTCCTCAAAGAACTTCAACTACATCTAGGTAACAGTCAAGGCTGTGAATGAAAATGGAATTAAATATATTCATGTCCTTGGAAAGTTCTTCACTAATCCTGCATGTTTCTACACACTTGTACATGCCCAGTAAACACTGTCGCTGCAGATACAGCCTATTTTGGGTATAAAAGGGAAACTGTCATACCTCCTATATTACTCCAGGTCAGCTGTGAGTAGAGTCTAGATTTTAATGGTCCCCTCTGCACCAAGCATTGCTGAGAGTAGCCAGAGAGGGAGTGGATCTGGGTGCTGAAGTGACATGGCAGCCCAATGCCGCCCTGCTGGGGCTGCTGTCGGCTGCGCTCCCACATCCCGTGCGGCTGCAGTTGGTGCTGTCAGACCGGGAAAGAGCTGGGAAGCAGGGAAGGTGCTGCTGCGAGCAGAATTAGTACCTGCTTAAAATGTATATGGAGAACAAACTGTCTTTTTAAAAGAATTTTAAATGCTACTTCTGGCTTATGAATAGTTTCCTTGCAACTGTCAGGCCATCTGCTTGGAGAGGGGTCTGTGCAGTCATGAAAAGGATCTTAAAATATACTCTCCTCATAAACATCTTTTGTTTGGCAAATCCACATGCATCACATAATGCAGTAAATGGCAGCACAGCCTGAAGTGAAACATTTTTAAATGCCGAGGATGCAACCTTGGATACAGCTCCCCCCGCCCCCCACCTCCCCTCTATTAATAAGCACGCTTTAAATGCACCCTCAGACACATTCTCTTACAGCCTCAGATTGGCAGCACCCACCTGCTGGGAAACATGCTAAGATAACTTCCTTGGGTACATCCAAAATACCAAACTGGGTTGTGGGCAGAAAAGAAACAGGCTCCTGCAAAGCAGCTCTCTTGGAGATTACATCATTCTCACAGCCAATTTTCTGCCTACACTGCACCATTTTCTACGGGGTGTGTGTGTGTGTGAAAAAAAATAGCATACGTTCATGTGTACACAATCAAAAAGGCCACATTAAGTGTGTGCAAGTACATCTAATTGTAGCATTTCCTAAGTTTTGGGAGCTTAGGTTTTCAGAACTGCTTGCTACATGAATATATACAATATATACATATGCACATAAACATTTATTTGTTTTGCATGCTTGGAATAGGAAATTGTGTGTATGAGAAGAGTGTTGTGCTTTCCTTAAATTTTTTTTTCTGTTTATTTTCATCATTCTTTGGTCATTTTTTGTTTACCCGCTTTTTGTTATTCTAATGTAAGTTCAGATATACAAAATGCTAATTTTCTTTTACATAAAAATGTAATAAAACTTTCTGGCTTTCTTTATAAACAAATTTCAGCAGGAATGTTGATGGGATGCTGTATACCAAGTAAAGAAGAAATACTGTTTAATTATCTTCCATATAAAATCCAATAAAACGTTCTGGCTTTTCTTATTTTTCTGTACTGGGGATTAACATCAGTGTCTTTGTGATGAGAAATCTGCATTCATGGCTCCTCTATTTAGATTTAAATAGGAATTATAGTTCTTGGCAGAAAGGGATCTGTCAAATATCACAGCATTTGTGGCAGGTGGTCACTGCATTGCTTAGTACAGACACTGCCTGCTTAACCATAGCCTGAAGTAAACATCAAAAGTCAATTATTCTCTTTGTAAATATTTTATTTATATTTTGGAGGCTAACAAACATCTTTTCAGTGCTTGGCTGAGACCTTCCTCCACAGATCATAATCCTACTGAACCTGCATTTGGGTGGTTAAGAATGTGTTTAGCAATCCAGGGATACCAGCTTAGCTACCACTGTATACTGGGTTTCATAACCCAATTCTCTGCTTCAAAACCTTTAATGACTTGGCTGGGTTGAAGTGGACAGAGCTAAAACTTGTCATGGTTGTTACCACTGCAGCTGCCAATTAGTGCGACAACCATGTATTACTTTGCCTTTCCTCAGTTAAACTGTATTTTGAATATAAATAATGAGAAAGAAAAAAAAAACAAACAGGATCCATTTCCTTGGATTTAACACTTTGGGGGTGGGAAAAGCAGGAGGTCTGGTTTTAACAGCAAGATAAGCATGTACATAGCGGCCCTGCAGTGGCAACTTGAATGCACATTGAGTAGCAAATATGGAACAAGAGCTGAACTCTGAGGGTCAAATGCCTTGAAGAAATGTCTTGTTGCAGGGTGAACCTACTAAAATAAAATGACAGTATCTGGCAAGTTATGCATACATGGCAGAATCTCTCCTCAAACCACTATGGTGTGGAAAACGTCTAAAGATGCTGCAACACATTTTAGATCCTTATTTGAACTCTGTCTGAACTCTTCGGACCATTAACTAATCAGATCATCTCATTTAAACAATGTTATAAAAATAATCAAATACTTCTGCCTGCATAAATATACTTTGAATATATTTACCTTAAAGAACCGGGATTTCTTGGGTGTTTACTCCTGACATTCTGGAAACAGAAGGAGCACAAAATGTTAAGGAGGAGCAGAATTCTCTGAGATGGGGCTCTGGGTAATTTTCCCTGTAAGCCTGTTTGGTGGCAAGTTAATTGACTCCCACATTACCGAAACTGCAGCGTACTAAAGCACTGGGTGCTCGTTTTGCTGCACTATTTGACTGGCAAAGGCCATCTGTTCTATCCCATCCATCCACATACACAGCGTCTATTGTTGTCAACAGGATTCACATACACGTGGATCAAGGCAAGCATGTGCCTCAAACTGTTTTGATCCCTAGAACATGGATTTTTCATTTTCTTTGTTTCTTTGTGCTCACCCAGTAATAATACTTGTCATCTGAGAATTCATATTGATCTTGTCATTGCCTTAAAATTGGATGACAATTACTATCTCTGTCAAAATTCGATCTGATGAAATGGCTCCAATTAGGAAGGAAAAAGAAGGAATCCATCACAGTGGGGAGCACTGCATTTGGCTTTAGAGTAGGAAAGCTTATCTTAAAGGGGAACTGTTGGAAGAAGCAAATGGGAACAAGCTTGACAGATATTAGGGCACCAGTCTCAAAATCCATAGAAATTCAGTATACATATGAAATGAATAGCCATTTAATATTTGCAGTCCGTATCTGTCTGCAATCTGAGTTGAAGCTCCTCTGACAATAAATGCCAGTAACTGTTGTTTTCATTTTCTGATCTGGTCAGACACACAGTGGCAGTTGACGCCAGGCTTCCTACATTTTCAAATCCAGTTCTGATCACCAGTGTAATTATAATACATTATCAAGAGTAGATTTGCTGAAGTTTGTGAAATGATAAAAGCATAAATTACATCTTTTTTCCAGATACTGATCTTACCTTGAAACTAAATGGGAAGATGCAGTGAAAGAATTGAAAACAAAAGAGCAAGTGCACTTCCATTACTACTGATATTGACACTAAAGCAAATAACTTATCCCTGCCAATTACAAATAAAATTGTGCTAATTACAGATTTTTTGGTTTATAAATCAGCCCTGAAAAATTAGTGTGTGCATTTATGTGTGTGTAGGGGTGGGGAAATCTTTTTCAAAACCAAAGATGTTTGTTTCATATAAAGTTAATGTTTTATTCAACTGAAAAAACCTGACACTGTTCTGTTTCTGAGGTCAGGTCCACCTGTAATTCCGTGTAGGTCTTACCTGGGAGCAGACAGAAGGATGCTCAGCCCTCCTCAAAGGACTGGAAGTCTCCGCCCACCCAGCAGAATCATCTCAGCTGAAGGCCATTCGTGCATTGGTTTCTCTGAATCGGCCCAGTAAATGCTGTTTCTTCACAAATAAAAGTATGGCAGGAACTGGCTTTTCAATTTGTACAATTATTGAGCTTCTGAACATGAGACTGCACAGTTTACATCCCTGGAAAATCATGTTTTCTTAACTATATGGAAGAGCTCCTCAAGACACTGAGGGAACCCAACCAAGCACACTATGCCTTTAGCAGGTGGTGACTTCCCAAGCTAAAAATGTAGGATCCGTGTGATGCAGAGATGAGTCACCACACCTCACACAGCAATAGGCTCTTTGGTGAAAGAAAAGTGGGTGAGCTGGTGCTTGCAGGTCTTCCTCTAGCAAGCTGGGTAGACATGATTTCCTTTTCACCAAATCTTTCTCCCCCCACCTCTGTTTTCATTAGCAAAAAACCTGCTTACTGACTCTGACCTACATTTGCAATAGCTCCAGAATGCAACACAACTGTGTTTCTGGGGAATTTGCTATTTGCTAAAAATTTTAATCCAAGCCATTTTGAAATGTTATATGTTAACTGAGCAAACACAGCAATCAGAAAAGTACACAAACCCCAAGCAATTGTCCTGGACTTGTTTACAACACACTGCTATTAATGAGCATCTGGGATGAGTATGGGATCTTGTACTATGGATCTCATGATCTGTACAATAATGGCTGATTTTAATTGACTTTTGCTTCATATAGCAAATCCCAATTGGAGAAGTTCCAGGATGCTGCTAGTGAAGAACTGTGGGCGGGTGCATGTTTTGAAGTGATGGTAAACATTGTGACATATACTGTGTGTACCACATATTCTCATATGCACATTTTGACTTTTGTTGCCTTGGCTTTCACACAGCATTTCTAACATAGACATTCCTATTTGCCAGTTTGAGTGGAAATCTGTTAATATGTGAATACTGCTCGCCAGCATGTACCAGCATGGCTGGACTCTCAGTCCCACAGAACACGCAGCCCTGCGTGCTCAGAGGGGCTCCACAGGACTGCGGCATCTGTGCGAGCAAGACTGGCAGAGCTGTGCAAATGAGGAGTGATGAGAGCTGCTATGAGAAACCATAACTTTGAGAACATGCAACTCAGCTCAGTATGATCCACTAATTCCCAATGTAAGTCACATCACCAGGAAGGCCTCGCTCTTTTACTGCCATGGATTCTATTTTCCTTTCAAGAGATGCTGGTAGCTAATGCCAAATTTGGTCAAGCTGTTTTAGCACCTGGAGTACTATTGGTATTAAAACCCCTTTAAAGGTCTGGGACTATGAGCCAGATTACCTGTATGATGTATTTTAATGACTAGCCAACCCTTCTGCTTGAACTGAAATTTGTCCTGAATCCACAGTAGCTCTTTGGGAACCTGGACTCAGCCAAGATTTGCACAGGTTTTTTAATTTGATGCATTAAAAAGTCCCCTGCTACATATCCCATTCTGCCTGGCTGCAATATCATGGCCAATATTAGACTAACAATTTGGTTTTAGGCTCTTTCCACAAAAACATTTGCATCGCACAGACCAAAGCTACAAGGTATTTATAGGCACTGAAGCTATGTGTGTCCTGTCCCTAGCAATAAGGTGTCCTGAGCACAGGGAGGGTCTCTGCTGCTGCCTACACCACTGCCCATGTCTCCAGTGATGTGGCCAGAGAGTCTCTGATACCACTGCAGCAGCTCCTCCACTTTAGCCTTGAAATACTTTTTAAAAAGGAAGGGAAAAAAAAAAAAGAGATAAATTTTACTCAGTGCAGCAGAACCACTTCTCTCAGAGTCCACCTGGTTGTTAGACAAGATTCATGCAAGAGAGATTTGCATGTGCAAGGAAGTCAGTGTGAAGTATCTGCTCGAATCTACTGTGCTGCACACAATGAAATGAATGCTGGTGAATGGGTGTTTCTGTGAGGTAATACTTCCATCGCATCCAATTCTAATGTTATCCAGCACACTGCCTTGCCAAGAGCCTTCTTTGTATTGCAGGAAGCCATCTGTGATGGTAACTAAAATGGGAACGGAACAGGATTCACTTTGGAGCGCCCGTCACAAGTGCTCCCCTCCGGCGCGTGCTGCCAGCAGCAGCATCTCTCCCAAGGTGAGGAAGGCACTGTCTGTGCATGTCCCAGAACTACCCAAAATGGATGTTGTGCTGCTCACCTGCCACTTTCATGAGGGGTCCATACAATCTCCATGCCTTGAACCATAATGTGTCCTTGGTGGGGACCATTAATCGCTATGGAGATGGTGGGTGGGACGATGGATCATTTTGAACAGGTTATCCAAAGCCTTGTTTTCAGTCTTTTTTGACATATCTCCTGGCAGAATATGCTGATTGTTTTCATTGATCTTTGCTGCTTCTGGTTTAATTTTTCTTTCTCTGTCTTCTAGTCTCTCTCTTTGTCCCTTTCTTTGCCAAACTATTCATTTGCTGTTGGCTACTCATGGGTCTGTGTTTCAGAGAGCTTCCTGTTTTGTCCATCTTGCTGTTCTATTTTCCATATATTTTTTTTTCTTCACAAATTTTGCCTTATTGTGCAGTGGCATGTGACTATCTGCTAATGCCAATATTACTCCTTGAGAATTCTTTTTCCTTGCATCATCAAGGGTTTAAGTGGAAAGCCTTCAGCACAGTGCAAATTTCACTCCTGAGAAAATCCATCTTTTGAGGTAGCTGATTTTAATTAAAGAATACTCTCTCTCCCTCTCTCTCTCTCTCTGGATTATACTTTAATTTCAGTCTCTATCACAACAGTAGATACTTCTTAGATAAAATGTATTTTTGTCTCTTTTCATCCATGATTATCTGTAGTTCTTAAACACTTGGGGTCAGCAGCTGGTCCCTAGTTGATGTAGTTCAGGAATAATTCTATTCAAAGGAATTAATTCAGAACAAAATTGGTTTTAAGTTCAAAATCAGGCAAAATGTTCATAATATTGTGCCCTTATTACATATGTGAGTGAAACTCCCAGAAATATCAGTGATAACAATCATGGTAATAAACAGTAATCTCTGAAATGTACAACCCCTTCCACCTGAGCATTTTAGACATCAATGCATTAAGCTGCTGTCATATGAAGAAATGTCATTATCCTAATTTTACACAAGAGGAAAAAGGGTGACAGGAAGTTAAGAAAGCAACTGAAAGTCTTGTAACAAGAACTGAACCTACACCTCCTGATCTCCTAATATCCTAAGCACAGAGGGAATGTGTTCCCAAGAGATATAAAACTGAGTTCTTGAGAGTTAATAGTCATGAAAGAATCAACAATATTCAAAACAAGTACAGTTTGAGTTTCTGCCTCCATCATCCTGCCAAATTATGATTGAAGTAATATCAGCATCATAACCTAAATTGTTTATGCATGATTAATTTGCATATTTAAACCATTTCCAGATTTCTCACAGAAATGGCTGAAGCATAATGCTGGATAGAGAAAGTCTTGCTGCAGATTTAAAACCTCACTGGTGCAAAGGAAACTGGAGTGAAACCCTGTCATTTCTGAAGCCAAAAGCAAAACTTCCCATTATGGTAGAACCAGGATCCTGGCCAAGGTCCCTATGGCCATGAGGATCTCCCTCCATCCCCCCAGATAAGCTTCTTCATATGAAACAGTAGGATATGGGTGTGGATATACATATGTGTATATATGTGACAGAATGCAGGCAGATGCATAGAAACCCACACAGAAATTATGGGATGAGTTCAAGCTGGCAAGATGGGGTTGTTCTATTTTCTATGTGCTGAGTGACATGAAGCAAGTTGTTAAGTCATTGCACCAGCCATTATGGATTTTTCCCCCCCTTTCTTTCCTCTGCTTTTTGTTTGTTTGTTTGTTTTAATGCCCCCTCCAGCCTATACACAAAACAGATATGTATCTCTGCTTAGTCATGCACTTCTTATCTGAACCGAACTAAAGAAAAAAATATGTATGTAGGATAAATGTAGGAATAAAATGTGCTTTGGCAAAGTGCTTTAAAGTGCCTTTCTGCCAGTAAGCCATTAATTTGTGCTGCTTTGTGTTCTCCAAGCTCAGAATAATTCCCATCTGCCTTGACTCACTATCTAGCACAGAAAGGAAGAGGTCCTTTTTTGAGCATGGATGAAATAGGAAACTTTTTGTATAAATGAAGAATAGAGCTTGGAATTCTGGTGTTTCTACCACTGGGACCTAAAATAACTTGAGGTCCTGCTCTTTTAATTAATTTCATTATGATGAGCCTGCCTCTCCTGTCCGTGTATGTTTTTTCAGCTTTTGTGTTCCTGGCCTGCCTGCAATACATATGTATTCCCCTTCTTTCCTCCTGCTGAAGCTGAAGATGCAATCACATCTTTGAACCATCTGGTTTTTAATTTATTATTTTCCCCCATTGCATTAATGGGCTCTCTCGTTTTTCTGTCAGGCTAACAACTTGGCTCCTGTTTATCTAAGATATGTTAACATGCTGTTCCTCTTCTGGGCACTCGCTCAGTCTATTGTATTTTCTGAAATTAAACACCAGGGAGTTTTTAATATTATTTTCTTCATCAGCCCAGGGAATATCCTCTACCTTTACAGCCTCTCTTCCTCCTTTTGTTGTTTCAGTGAACATTTTATGACTCTTGCTAAATTTAGGTTAATATATTATTTTTCTGTCCTCTCTAGATCATTCCCAAGATGATTTGTAGGAGCCTGCCTGGCCATGTTCCTGTGTGATAAACCTGGTGAGCAACCTACTCATGTGAGGCCAGAGAGCATCCAGGATTCCCCAAAGGAGGCAGAGGAATCCCTGCAGAGCTCCTCATGTGTCCCCACAGGGCAGGACTCAAGATTTGGGAAAAACCTTCCATGCCTTTGTTAACTCACCCACAAAATGAGCAGACTGGTGCAGTGGAGCCCCTCTCTGACACAGCCAACTCTTGTCCCAGCCAGGTGAGGCTGTGCCAGGCAGGGCAGCCTGGCAATCCTGAGACATAACAGGAAGCTGTACCTCCCCAAGATGGCCTGGAAGTTCCAGGTAATCACAGTATGGAGCATAATGTGGATTTATACTTGTTACTTTACTTTTCTATGGTACCTCCCAAGAGTCTTCTGAGGCATTCCATTCTTTAATAAGCTGAAAGTGCTCCGAGATTTTTCTAATGAAAATGATATAGGAGCACACAGTGTTATTATTAAAACCTTTCTTTTTCTCTAGGAACTGCTAAAATACATTTACAGTTTATATCCTTTTTGGTGAGCATTAAACTTTCTAATTTAAAATAATAAAGCCTGGTTTGCTCACTTTCTTTCCCTTCTATTTCAAAAATATAAAAAACTGACAGTTTTCTAACTATTCTTATTTTGCTGAGTGATTTTTTGGATTTCAATAAAAGTAACACTGTGGTTACAACACTTTGTGAGATAAGCAAAGAGATTTTTTTTACAGCACAATTATGGAAATTTCAAAGAATCTTATAAATATCCTACTATTTGCATATATGAGATAAGCATATTTTAGTAATGGTTATGACAGGCTAGCAAGGAAAATGTGTGGGACAGCTATATAGCAAATACATGCAAACATGAGGGGGTGTCTGTGCACATGCAAACGGAGAGAGGGTGTCTGTGCGCTTTTCCAGTGAAACCCGTCCTCAGTGGGTGCAGGATCCCCGGGAATACATGGTGCTCCCCAGGGAGAAGGACCACCCCTATCCTACGACTCAGTGTGCCCCCTCGCAGATGCAAGATTAGCGTTATTTTTCTAACACAACAAGGCATTTTGGTCGATCCAGATGGTGAGCACTAGATAAGAGTTAATATGCCAGCTCTGAGTTTTGTTTCCACTTACCAGGGTACAAAGGCTGGGATTTGCCAGGACCTCGGGGTGCAGCTGTGCCGTATCTCAGCCGTCCAGGCTCAGGGCTGGGGGACGTGGGGACACCTGCGGTGTGCACTGCCAGTCCCACCACTCTGCTGCCACAGCCCTCACACCTCGCTGGGACGAGGGCTGAGCCTCTCCCAGGTAGGTCACTGCTGCCACGGCTGCTGCTCAGCAGGCTACTCCAGGCTGCCTAAAAGACTAACACAGCCCTAAGTGCTCCTGAAAAGCCCATGAGGCAACTAAGGCCAGCTTGGTCTTCAACACATACCCAAACCTCCACTCAAAATTCCATGAGAATGGAGCCATAGCTGCCTAAGAGGCTTTCTGAAGCGAACCGTGCTTTTATTCTGTTGTTTGCCTTTGTATTTTTAAGTTGGAAATTGCTCCTCGGGTTATGCCTCAGAGCTGCTGGGAAGCTCCGAGAATTAGTGTGGCAATTTTCTCAGTCCTTTGTTGAAAAGGAAGAGTCCACACAAAAAATGCACTGGCATTCCAGCTGCATAAACAGTGTAAATTGCTGTCAAACAAAAAGATGATTTAGCTAAAATAAACCCCAAACAAACAATCCCCTCCACACACACTTTTCTGTCCCCATTAGAACCACAGGTTTCTATTCTGTGGACCTCCCATCCATCTGCTTGGCCCTTGAAAGAGTCCTTGAAAAACAGAAAAATGAAAACCACTTACTTTCTGAAAACTAATCTTGGCTTCCCAGTGCCTGGCTTTCAGGGGAGTTCCACTTGAGGCTTGATTTCTGTAAGTGCAGATACTCAGTATGTCCTGAACAATTAGATACCTTTGAGGATGTTGAAAGCAAGACATAAAAAACCAAATCAATCATGAGTCTTGTTTGACAACTGACACTATTTCTGATGCGAAAAAACCCAAGCACTAAATAAAACAGTAATAATAAAAAACCCCAGAAAGCTTAAAACTCAAAAGGGAATCTACCAAACCAACCCTTGTCTCTTTAGGTTTTAAAACACACATTTTTTTCTACAAAAAATTTTTTCATAGCCTGCCTAGAAAAAAATTACAGAGGTAGAGATTCATCTTTTTCCTCCCCTGCTGAGGCAGATGACCTTTTTCAGAAGCCAGAGTGAGTCCCCTGGCTTGTGCAGCACAGCCAGGGACCCTCAGGAGGTACACTGGGGGGTGCTAATGGATGTCTTCTGGCCCCTGGTGCTTGTCAGTCCTCCTTCCACACCACAAAATTGGGGGGAAGATGGGGTGACAGCACTACCCAGACTGTACAGGAGCCCATCAACACAGCCTCTGGGCAGAAAGTGCGTGCTGGCATGAGGAGTCTGAAGGCAGTGAGTGGGACTGTGAGCTGCCCAAACTGCAGGCAATTATGTTGTAATTTGTTCCCAAGCTCTCACAGGAGCCTGCCCCTTCTGTAATGGAGACAGGAAGATTACAAGCAACTGCTGCCTCCCAAGCAGTTGATATTCACAAGAAAAATAGAAGAGCAAGGGAAGGGGCAGTTTTGCCTCGTCAGCTAATGATCCTTGACTCTTTTGCTTTGTGTTTTTGGTAGCAACCACAGAGAGGTCACACATGAAACTGTGGAAGTATGAGGTATCTTTATTAAATATATCAATGGAGTTTATTAAATGGAACATACAGTACTGGGTAGTGTAAGCCACCGTTGGACGGGCTCGGGGTCACGCAGGCCTCCTGCCTTGATGTCACCGGCTTTTGGATTAATACTACGAGCTCACAGCGTGGGCCTGATTAGAAGGCCGGGTCCCAGGTGGTTTTACCTCTGCCCTCTGCCAAGGCTTTGTTTGCAGCGTGAGCAGTGAGCTTTTCAGCTCATCACCCAGCTGAGGCGGATCACGGAGGTCTTTTACCACCTCTGGCAGATGCGGGGCTCACAATTCCTGTCCGGCAGGAGGAGGGCGCAGAGGTGGAATCGTTATCTCCTATTGTCCGATTGATTGTTTGGGCTCTTGGAAAAGTCTTCCTTTTTGAAGGTCTTTTTCTTTTCTTTTCTTCGTGTTTTTTTTTAATCTCCCCCCCCCTTTTCTTCTCATTTTTAACGTGCACCAGGAGGGCAGAACAGAAAAGGAAGCTCAAAGACGGTTTTAGCTTGCTTTCTCTCAAGAGATTCTAGTTCATGGTAGAAAAAACAAGTCCCTGTGACAGGAAAAAGACCTACCACCATAACAAGGCAGTTTTCTCTTTTTGAGCCATTGGATTGCTTGCACAGGCTGGGGACGGCCAAAGGTGGAGAAACAAAGGAAAGAGAAGCCCAGGCTGCACTGAGGGGTGAGGACAGAGGAATGCAGATGGGAAGAAGGGATTTAGCGTGATGGTGATCACTGTGTGATTAAAGGTGACAGGAACAATAGTGCATGGCTGTGTCTACACTACTTGTTAGTGGCACGCTGGCCTCTCAGGAAAGAGGGATGTCTCTTGTTAAAGACAGTACTTTTAAATTGAAGTGGATAGGACTGCAGAATGGAGGGAAGAGCAAAGGAAACAAAACATAGGGACTTTGTTGGATGAGTCTGTGTTTTTCTTACAGCAACGACAGTGCATGACTAACTCTGTGAAAGTGGGGCTGATGTAGTTTTAAGCCATCTAGTTGTGGATGACCAGGGAACTTGGAGATAAAGGCCTGAGAGCTCTATGCTGCTGCCCAGGATTGAGTACATCAAGGCCTACACACTGGTTTTATCCCACTGACCACCCACACTGCCAGAGAAGGTGCTTAGCTCAGACAGAGAGGGTGCAAAACAGCGAGGAGGCAGATGCAGCCACCTCAGGGAGCATCCCTGACAGCTCTGTTCATTCCAGTCCTGTCTGCCCATTGCAAAACACAGGCAACACCACGCCGCATGCAAACTGTGCACTGACACAAGGGGCAGACCAGAAAGTATCCAACACTATTCAATAATATTCCTACCTTCAGTAACAATGATGTCCAATACAACAGGTGGAAGAGTTGTTCTTACACACCACAGCAGCTCTATGTTCCTATGCTGATCCAGGTCTGCTGTCTGGTTAATACTCACTCCTTTCTGTCATCTGAAAAATAAAGACAACTTTTCATATAGCTTAGTGTTTTTCTCCTTTCCAAAGTTTTGTCTGTGATTGATGAAGCTGCCTTACATTGTCAGAACTCACTTGAAGTAATAAACAATGGAAATGCCTTTATAAGTGCTAGTGCTAGATCCATCCCCCTTACAGCCCAAGTTGTGCTCTTTCCCAGGAGCCCATGATGTACTACTTGCCATTCTTCATGTTGATTATTTAACATTTTATACCTTTTATCCGTTCTATGAACACTTTGTCCTAATTGCTCAGCTGTTTGCTGATTATCCTGCTGCAGTTTGTCAGATCCTTTCATCCATTAATCTGTGAGACCCTTCAGTTGCAATTTACCTGATAAAGAAGTTTTTAACCACTGATTCTGTCAGAGTCATATCATAGAATCAACTGGGTTGGAAAAGACCTCTGAGATCATCAAGTCCAGCTCTTGATCCAACACTGCCATGTGCCAAGTGCCACATCCAGTCTCATCTCAAAAACTTCCAACGATGGTGAATCTACCACCTTCCTGGGCAGCCCATTCCAATGTCTGATCACTCTGTAACAAGTTTTTTTCTGATATTCAATCTAAACCTCCCCTGGCACAGCTTAAGACCCTCTTGTCCTACTTCTGGTTCCTGGGAGAAGAGACTGACCCCCACCTGGCTACAACCTCCTTTCAGGGAGTTGTAGAGAGCGATGAGGTCTCCCCTGAGCCTCCTCTACTCCAGGCTAAACAACCCCAGCTACCTCAGCCTCTACTCACAGGACTTGTGCTCAAGTCCCTTCGTTGCTCTTCTCCAGACCCGCTCCAGCCCCTCAATGTCCTTCCTGAACTGAGGGGCCCAGAACTGGACACAGCACTCCAGGTGTGGCCTCACCAGAGCTGAGTACAGGGGAAGGATCACTGCCCTGCTCCTGCTGCCACACTGTTCCTGATCCAGGCCAGGATCCATTGGCCTTCTTGGCCACCTGGGCACACTGATGGTTCATGTTCAGCTTCCTGTCAATCCAAACTCCCAGGTCCCTTCCTGCCTGGCTGCTCTCCAGCCACTCTGTGCCCAGCCTGGAGCGCTGCAGGGGGTTGCTGTGGCCAAAGTGCAGGACCCGGCACTTGGCCTGGTTGAACCTCATCCCCTTGGAATCAGAACATCTCTCCAGCTTGTCCAGGTCCCTCTGCAGAACCCTTCTGCCTTCCAGCTGATCGACACTCCCTCCCAGCTTGGTGTCATCTGCAAATTTTCTAATGGTACACTCAATCCCCTCATCCAGATCATCAATAAAGACATTAAACAGGACTGGGCCCAACACTGATCCCTGAGGGACAACCACT